AGGGCAGCGCCCGGCGGCGCCTCCCGGGTCGAAGCGCGCAGATAACGTCCATGCACGGGTACACAACATGCACGGAGCGCCGGAGCCAGCGGGAGGGCGGCCGCGCTGCCGCTACCGCTCACATCCACAGTGCAGTGGGCCAGAGCAGCTGGCTCTAGCGGGGAGGAGGATGCGGGGCCTCCGCGCAGCCTGCGGGCCACGCGCGAGCCCCCGCTGGGGCTGGGAGCGCAGCGCCTGCAGCGCGGCCGGTGCTGCCAGGGAGCAAACGGGGGCTCTGGGAGGGGGTCTGAGGAGTGTTCCTGAACGTAAGCGGGTCCGCACTAAATTCCGGGTTGTGGTAGTAGGGAAACCAGAAAGCTTCTGGCCTGTAACATTTAGCGGCATCTGGCACTTGCTGCTGAAAGGCTTCCACAAAGAATGAAACGCGGGAGCGGTTTTCTGCAGTTTTCTGACAGACTAGCAGGCTGCTAGGGAAGAGATGAAGCGTGCAAAGAGCAGGATATACGAGAGGTGTCATGACCGTAGTAACCACAAAAACTATTATGGTTTGTGGAAGTTGTGATTGAATCTTAGGTGCATATCTTTGAAAATTTTCCTTCTGCCTTAAGCTTTGAAGGCGAAGGTCACAGACTGCTTTTCCACTAGTGTAACAGGTATGTTTTCAGCCATAGCATAAAACAAATCCCTCATTAAAAGCAATGGTAAGAAATCTCCCTTTGTAGATCAACTACAAAGAGAAGAAGTGTGGGGAAGAAAGGTAATGGAACTAGTGTTCTTCATATGTCTAGGCAAGGCTCTGAGAAAGGAGAGGTAGGAAAAGGATGGAAGAAGTGAGAAGTCTGCTGGCTATTTTCAAATTATACAAAAGTGGGAGGAGAAGGGAGAGATGCAAGGAAGGAGCACTGCGTAACTGGGAAGGAGAGACCATTCTGCTTAGCCTTCTTGAATTCTTGAAACGTAGCTTGGTTTTGCACCCCCCAATCAGAGTAGGCAGCTGCCCAGAGCGCAGAGTATGCGCGCCCAAGGGAACACAGGCACGGAGTAGGAAGAGGTGCATCTGCTCTTTGATGTGCTGAACGTTACTGGCAGAGCTGACCCCGAGGCCACGTCTGGTGCTCGGGCAAGTTATGTGCTACCGGAATTAAAATACTTGTTACTAGATGAAAACTAGGTGATGTTATGATAGAGGTAGGTCCTTGATTAAACAGCGGTTACTCCTGTGTGGTTTGACCAAAGCTTGTCATCTCAGTCTCGCGAGATGGTTTGCTTTTCAGTTATTGTAAGATAATACTAATCTTGAAACCTTGGGAAAATAATCCCATGCTTTTTTTTCCCCTTGTCTTGCCAGAATTGGAGAGTGAGGTGCGCCGTGTAGAGCAGTTGAAGAGCAATGGAGCAGTACACAACAAATAGCAACAGCTCCACAGAGCAGATTGTTGTGCAGGCTGGGCAGATTCAGCAACAGGTATGGAAAGTTATCGGAATGGCTGAGCTGGCATTCCCACTGCTTAGCTATAAACTCTTCTGTACTTCTTTTTTCTGCTCATATGTCTATATTGCACAGAGCCGGCAGGATGCTTCCTGGTGCGAGCTGGATGTGTGTTTATCTGACTTATGTTACTGATCAGTGGTCTTGTTTATCAATGAAATCTATGTGTTTTTAATCTCCATTAATTTAATAGAATTAGAAGTATGTAAGTTAACAAGTTTTGGTGGAGTAGGGACTTCACAAATTGGCAGCAATGTGTAGCAAACAGCAAATACTTCTTTTGGTTTGTTACATCTGATGTTTTAATTCAGAGAATTTTCTTTGTTTAAGCGATGCAAATGAATGAGACACTGTAGGTTATATTTGCAGTAAGATGATATGTTTGCTTTGTTATTACTCTGTTTGAGTGTTTGATGGGAACAGGCTGCAACCAGTGTTCTCCCACTGAGTTTAGTGGAGATCAACTCTTTCAGCAAGAACAAGATTATAGTTGAGTTTAAAAAATAACAAGTTAAAATTGCCAAAAATTCTGGTACTGCTTTCAGCAGGTGACCAAAGATTAAAGTATTTGGTTTTACTGGTATTTTTAAATAGATGGAAGGTAAAAACATACCTTAATTTATTGAATTTTTCATATGTGTTCTCAAATGCTCTCCTATGTTGCACTGCAAGAGAAACTTTCAAATGGGCCAACTGCAGTTCAGCTTTTACAGATGTCCTTCATATCCCAACTGCTAACATAGTTAACAGAGATTATTTTGGTACTCTTACTAAAGAGGCTAAAGATAGACTAGGCTTTCGGATTTAACTGCTCTTTCAAATTTGCAAGATTGTCCTTCAAGGTCAGTGGTGGAATATTTTGATGTGGGGGTTACACAGATGAAGCTTAGTCTGTAGTTACCTGTGCCACTGTCCTGCACACAAAGGAATTTATGGCCTTCACTGATCAAACAAAAATCTGGAATCCCTTCACCATAAGAAGCTCAGACAGTGAAGAGGAAGCCTAGGTGGAACGGTCGCATACTAAAACAGTGAAGCAAAGATTTTAAATTCAAAAAAAAAAAATCCCAACAGTCATATTCTGTGTAACTCCTCTTTGTTTAGGGTTGTTGCAGCTGTCAGTATGCCTATGCAGATTTGCGAGTGTTCCAATCTTAGGTTTGCTAAACATATCCATGTACCTTCTGTTCCAAGAGCAGCGTATGTAAATTTTAAATCCATCCTCATCCAGCAAAGTGTGGTTGTCTCTTCCGAGCTGTGCATTTGCGTGTTTCAAGCTATTCCTGTTCCTATTCCCAGCAGCAGGGTGGTGTCACTGCTGTCCAGCTGCAGACTGAGGCCCAGGTGGCATCCGCCTCAGGCCAGCAAGTCCAGACCCTCCAGGTAGTGGTGATCTCTCTAATTGTGTTTGTGAGCACTGCATGACTCTTCCCATCACCACATATCTAATGCTGTGTTTCTACCAGGGTTTGAAATAGGAAAATTGGTGGCCAAAAGCAGCTGTGCTTTTTTGCTAGTTGTTTGTTCTTGAAGAAAAGGTTATAGCTTTTCCTTGCATCTCAAGTGGATGTCAGAAACCCCAATCCATTCATTAATTTCTGCTGCTGTAATTATGAAAGTGAATTGAAATGGAACTCTAACAGAAGTAACATCCTGCAGTCCAGAGAGGTAACTCAAGAGATACAGCCCCAGTCTTCTGTACAATTTCAAAAATAAGAGATTTCTGCTATCCAGTGTGATAAGTTTTTTTTGTATCTATACTATATGGAAAGAAGCCAGGGACAGAGTGTGTGACCACCAGCCTGAAGAGTGAAACTTCTTGATCTCTGATTATAAAGGGCAACTGAGGGCCATACTCGGTCCTGCGGGACTGAGATACCTGATTTCTTACTTACAATTTGAACAATACAGGAAAATCCAGGAGAGTCATTTAGCGTAACAGTAAATATGTTACAGATCAGAAAGAAAGGCAAGATTATTTCAAACCCTGATGTGTTTTGATGCAAGTCTCTTGCAAGCTTCATCTCATTAGATCATGCAGGAAGCTTTCAAAGGAGCTGAGAAAGCCTGGACAGTTCTAGCAATTTAGTAGAGCTTCTTCACTTGGTATTTTGTTTTTATTAGTGTATTTGATTTTTAAACCCTTCAGAAGAAGGAAATTCCGGAAGGCTAGAATGGTCTTGCCAGATGTGAAATTAAACACAGCATTTTTTATGTTCAGAGTTAAAATAGAAAAAAAGAAAAAAAAAAAAGGCTGACTTGGATTGCTTGGCTCTGTGGCCTCCTAGTCTCATACTGCAATGTTTGCTTTCCTCTTGCTTGCTCTAATACATTAACAAGAATCCTGGAATTGATCATTTTCTTTCTACTCATTGGACATTGAACTGCTGACTATGTTTCTCTCTGGCTGACGTGAGCATGCTTGTATCTCTCTATTTGGGTTGTAATTCAAAACAAGTACTACCAGTTGTGTTAGTGGCAGACCTGAACAGTCTAGCAGGGGTATTAGGTGACCTGTAAAGACAGAATATTCTCTTTCGGGCTTCCGTTGTTAAAGTAACGTAATGGTTGTTTCTTTAGATTTGTTAGCATATAACTCACTATGGGTTTTGACCTATGCAAAGTGAACCTTTATTTTAAGTAATTCAGTAGGGATGGAAAATTAGTACTGATACTTAATTTAATGAACCCACCTAATGGAGGTGGGTTCATGAGTAAGCTTTGGTTGGTATTGAAGGTTCTATAATGGAGGTAGGTCGTGGCCACTCCCATTATAAATTTTGGTTATTGCATACTCTTAAAGTTTTCAGGTAGAAAAAAAAAGAGACTTTTTTCTCCTTACTGAACTACAGTTTGTGCTGTCATGTTAATAACTTCACTTCATAACCATGAAAAGATTCTTTTAAGAACATCACGGGCCCTGTATCAGTTATGGAATGGTGATGTAAGAATATAATTGGAGGGAGTTGGACTACTTCAGAATCTCTCTTAGGATAACTTATTTAGAGCTTTTTCTCATTAAGAAACCCAACTGAAGATTTCTAATAGTGTTGCGGATAATGAAGCTTCTTTTCCTTTCCTTCACTCTCAGGCTGTGCATGAAGAAAGTCACTGTATCTGGACAGTTTATCTGTGTATTTCATACTTTGTTGCAATTGAGCTTGGAATTTTTGGTTATACTGTGACAGAAAACAGATAGTTTACAGAATGCGTCAGTGTAACATGGAGAAAGTTTTAGCAATTAAAGATAGTTGATGCTGATTATGAACCCAGTTTAGCTCAGTTTCTCTGGCCACTGCAGTAAAATAGGTAAGCATTCAGCTTGAGGTAGCAGCCGCTCTGTTTCTGGTTTTGTGTCATGAAACTTTTTTCATTGTTCTGTTTGTTTTTTTTCTGCCGTTTTCTAGGTGCAGGGTCAGCCGCTCATGGTACAAGTCAGCGGGGGTCAGCTGATCACCTCCACCGGGCAGCCCATCATGGTGCAGGCCGTGCCGGGCGGGCAGGGCCAGACCATCATGCAAGTCCCCGTTTCTGGAACACAGGGCCTGCAGCAGGTGAGTTAATTCTCATTTTATTAAAGACAGATCACAAAGAATGAGCGATGAAGTTCTCACCTTGCCAGCTAGAGTGTATTTGCCTTTGGGACTGTTAAAATAGGCTGGACAAAGATCATTTTTCTCCAGCTATGGAACTGTCACAGTGAGCTGCATGTTAAAATTAAACTAAACTTATTTTTGTATTTGATATTGTATTTTATGGGATGGTGCAGACCTTTTAAATGAAATCCATTAAAATACAGCTAGAACTTTCTTTTTTTGCACAGTTAGCTGGCTATTACATTATATGGTTCACTAAAGAGGTTTTTATTTTTCTTTTTTGCAATGAAAGTTTCTTGAAAATTATATTTGCATTGGAGTTCATCTAATATATGATGTATGGAGCTGAATTTAAACTTTCCTATTAAACAGAAAGTAATGGTTTAGAAAAATATATGATGGTTTATTAATAATTATTATTTTGAAACATTTATTCAATGGACAGTTTTTAAACATAAGCAAGTGCTTGATATGTATTACTCAAAAGTGTTTTGGTTATTTGAGAATGGGATTTAGGAATCAAGTTCAGCACAGCCAAGGAAGGCACATGATGTCTTGGTGTTTTGAGAGGATTAATTGAATGTTTACATTTCCTTTGTAAAAGGCACTATTTGTGTTCGGTTCTCTACAGCCTGTCTGTTGGAGAAAGCCTTATAACTTTTTTTTTTTTTTTAGCAGAAGCTGCATATTTTAGTTCCTTTTTTTTTCTTTTTAATCTTAAGAACTCTTCCAAATAATTGGTGGAAAAAGTTCCCTGCAAAGCTGAAGAAAATTTTTATTTATATAAGGGCATATGAGTCTTAGTCCTCTTTTCTTCCTTTGACCTGAATATTGTTATTCCTAGTTTCATGCAAATAATTTATTTCTTTGACCATTTTATTGTGTAAGCAGTGGAAAACTGCTGGGGCCTGATGACACCAGCGTGTTGTATTTCCTCTATTCTGTATGGTCCTGCCTGCTCTTGTATCAGTGATTGCTGTGTCACAGAGAGGAATAAATCGGAACTCTTTCTAATTTAAAATGGAAAAAGAGAAGATCCAGTGCTTGCCTTTTCTTGGCAATAGTATGTTGTCCTCGGAGCTGATTCGGTAATGCTGAGGCCAAGGAGGGAGAAACAAGAGGCATAGTTAATGTTCCTTTCTGACTCTTTCTTCCACAGATTCAGTTGGTCCAGCCAGGTCAGATTCAGATTCAAGGTGGGCAGGCTGTGCAGGTACAGGGGCAGCAGGGCCAGACCCAGCAGATCATTATACAGCAGCCACAGACTGCAGTTACTGCTGGCCAGACACAGGTAACTGCACCAGCATGAAAGGATTTTCTTGAGAGGAATAGGAAGAGAAACTTGACAAATAACTTAAGATGTGGTTAAGTGAAAAGGAAGTAAAAGAATTTATTAATATTGAGGAGAACTTTAGAATAAAATTAATATTTTCGTGGTGTTTTAACATATAAGTCTGGGGCAGAATAAGTAGACTGCATGTTATTATCAATTGGGTTTCTCTGTTTTGTTTCATGACTGTTTAACTGAATGTTGAAGTTTAGAGACATGAAGTACTGCTAATTTTAAACTTCTCTCATTTTGTGAAATCATCTAGTCATACCTGCTTTTCTGTTCAGGACCAAAATTAATTTTTTGAGCAGAACAGTCCTTCCTTTAGCATGTGCTTAGTCAGATACAAAGCCTATGATTTTTTGTTTGTTTTGTTTGTTTTTAATATTAAATACTAAGCTATTAAAATAAGTTTGTTCAAGTACTTAATCTGCAGTTCAACTGGTTTGTGTTCCATCCTATTTCTTTACGCTGATAATACAGCAAAAGAAATAAGTGCCTGAAACACCCTGAACACTATGTGTAATCTACAGGAATTTTAAAATTTAGGAAATAAACAATTTGTAAGTTTAATGTGTTGTTTGTTTTGTTTAGACCCAGCAACAAATAGCAGTTCAAGGGCAACAGGTAGCGCAAACAGCTGAAGGCCAGACCATTGTCTATCAGCCTGTTAATGCTGATGGAACCATTCTTCAACAAGGTATGAGCTCTAATGGGAAAAAGATCCTGACCTATTCATACCAGTTTTGTAGGTTTTTACTGCCTTGTGTTATCAAAGGAAAAAATGAGAAACAGTGCTGACAGTGCCAAAGATTGACAAAATGAATGGAAGAAGGAATGTTTACATTATTCAGCCAGCTTTTAAACACAGAAAATATCTTCTCTTCCTTGGCAAGGGCTATTAGAATAGGAGCACTTAGGTTTGCTTTTGAGCCTTAGAATGTGATCTGTACTCTTTGGCTGGGATTTCTGATCAGATGACAAAACTAAAACAAATCCAAAAAAAAAAAAAGTAAGTATGAGGACCAGGTGATGTAATAAATAGTAACAACTATGGATTTGCAATGCTTTTAAAAATCCTTTTGCATGTTATGGAAGGGTGAGTGAATGAAAATAGAAGTGGGACTAATGGTGTTCCCTTCTTTCTGTGTGCGTGTTTTTGTTTTTCTTTTGTGTTTTATTTTCTTAAAGTTACAGTCCCTGTTACAGGCATGATCACCATCCCAGCAGCCAGTTTGGCTGGAGCTCAAATTGTCCAGACGGGAGCCAACACCAATACAACCAGCAGTGGACAAGGGACTGTGACAGTGACGCTACCAGTTGCTGGAAATGTTGTCAATTCAGGGGGAATGGTTATGGTATGTTCTTAATTTTCTGTTGTTTAAAGGTTGAGCTTTAAGATGCCTGTGCACAAATGGTTGTTTGAGATCCACATCAACTTAATACAGGTCCTCTTATCAGTAGCTATCATTAGTTTAAAATTTAAATGATATATATTTTCAGCTTTAATGACACCTTTTCCTAATGTAAAGCATATATTCTATGCTTTTTTCTATATTGGATTATGGAGTTCCAAAATATACAAACTGAAATTTAAAATAAGCTCTAAATTAATAAGCAGAGGTTTGAAAAGACTGAAGAAAATACTACTTTTTTTCGAGGATGTCTTAGTATTTGGTTTTGTGACTCTTAAGAAGGCCTTTCCAGCACATTCTTATTTCTTTTTTGTGAGATCCATTTTAACTTGAATTTTATTTTTCATCTCCACTAGAGGTCAGCAGTTCTATAAGTTGTATTTGCTTGAGAAGTGTTTAAAAATAATTATATAAATGAAGCAAGTGATAACCACACAAAAGGAGAGAAAATGGACATATCTTCTTTGCCTGTGTACAAGAAGCAGTAATGTGGTCATTGAACTGTATAATGTGTTGATATGTTACTATTACCAGAAAAAAGCAAGCACAAGTTATGTGCAGTTATTTGTTTAAACGTATTATGTGGTTTGACACCAAATTTCTTACTGCTTTTAATGTAAAGCAGAGTTGCATTATCTGAAGAAAAGTTATACACTTCGCATTTAAACTTACTCTTGCATTTAGAAGTTTTTGAATGCACTTCATCTTCTGAGCCACAGGTACTAAAAGCCTTCTCCTCTCTACAGATGGTACCTGGAGCTGGATCAGTACCAGCTATCCAGAGAATACCTTTGCCTGGAGCAGAAATGCTGGAAGAAGAGCCACTCTATGTAAATGCTAAGCAGTATCACCGGATCCTAAAGAGGAGGCAGGCACGAGCTAAGCTTGAAGCTGAGGGAAAAATTCCCAAAGAAAGAAGGGTGAGATTGTAACTCAGATCTAATATAGGCTTGTTGTATGGGAAAGACACAGAAAACCTCTCCTGGAAAAAATGGAATTAAAATCTAAGTGTCTGTCTTCTGTTTTTGTTCATAATCTATATCAGAGTATTTCCTCGGAGTACCTTAGTGACAGTCCTGTTGCTTTCCATGCTTTTAGTTGTTGAATATATATGTATGAATGTATATGCATTGTATTGCAAAAAGGCATTTACTATAAGCACTGGGCAGTCTTTTTCAGTGGTCAGGGACTTCCCTATGTTCTCATTTACTGAAAGTATTGAACTTGAAATAGTAGGCTGATCTCATTAGACTTTTCTTCTGTATTGTTATAGAAATACTTGCATGAGTCTCGGCACCGTCATGCCATGGCCAGGAAGCGGGGAGAAGGTGGACGTTTCTTCTCACCAAAGGAAAAAGATAGCACACACATGCAGGTAATTAGAGGTTCCTTCTTTGGACAGCTGACACGTTCAGTTCTTCACAATATACTTTAGGGTTGTTTATTAAAATATATATAACGTAATTCTTTTCTGCTCCGCTGTAAAACCTAGCTTAAGATGTGATGTATAGAGATAAAGGGAGGGAGTAGAGGAATCTTTTGATGAAGGGAGTTGTGCCTGATTCTGTGCGGAATGTAACTGCTGAAGTTACAACATCATATGTGTTTTGTATCTGTAGGATCCATCTCAGGCCAGTGAAGAAGCAATGACACAGATGATAAGAGTTTCTTAACTGCTGCTTAAAGAAGAAAATAACTGAATAAAATTCCTGTCCCTCCTACAAGTCTGTCCTACCTTACCAGTGTATCAAGCAAGTCTTTTCAATGGGACAATCACCACATCACAGCCTATCCTTTTCTACAGAACAAACACCACTTTTTTCAGTATGTGGCTGAGATTTTAACTGCAGTGGACTCAACAAATAGAAACTTAATGACTTCACTGGTATACTCTTCTGATCCAGCGCAGGGATTTCAAAGTCCGACTGCTCATGCCTACGTGGTTATTTTTTCTGTTGGTTGGGGTTTTGTTTGTTTTCTTTAAAAAGAAAAACTTTGATTGGCTGTGGGTGACAGTGCCACTGACTTTGGTGATCAGCAATAACTCTGGCATGCTGAAGCAGGGCCGGCAAAGACCTGTTGGAGTTATGGACCTTCTGTACAGAGACATAATTCAGCTTATAGTAACAAGCACTGGCTTCTCCACAGTGCTTTGTTTTCCCAGTAAAGACTTGTTATTTACATCCACCCTTTACAACTTTGTACCTGCTATCAAATGAACTGTTCGTTGCTGTTACTTTTGCACTTCTGAAACTGGAAAAACTGAAGGGGGTTCTATTAAGCTCCATCCTGTGAGATACGTAAACAGCAAGCTCTTCTCTGGGAAAAGTTCGGCCATCCAGTCAAAATGAGAGAGATAGTTCAAGATTACTACCCAACTTGATATATTGCATATCTGTCCCAAGGAAAAAATGAGGAGAGTTACTGATGTGAGTGTAAAAGTGTAATTAGAAAAAGCAATCTGTGTAGGTGTTTTTTGATATGTTTATTGCCAATAATTGACACTTTGGAAGAAAAGCAGATGTTAGTATAAAAAGGATCAAATCTTTTAAGTGAGTCTTTTCTAAAGTTTTTTCTTTTTTTCAGTCTTCCTTCTAGCTTGCCAGTGCAGTGCTTGGTTCCTCCAAATGAAATAATATCCGCAATATCAGCATGATAGGACTTGACCATCTTTGTGAGTGTTTGCTGATATTAGTTCTGCAATTCTGTCATGCTACAAAGAGTGAGGGATTGTTTCATGACAACAGAAACACAGGACAATTAACTTGGCTCATTCTGATGTAATTGAAGGATTGTTAAGCAAATGAAGACAAGAATTGATAAATCTTTCAGACTTTTTACAGAATACTAACTTTTAGATAAAAGTAGCACTTAAGAATGAGAAAAACATGCTTCTTTTTTTAAAAAGCATTTTTCATGACCTTTAGCTGGCTTCTGGATTAATACTTCAATCTTTATCTTTAATTTAGTAGCTAATTATATATTTCAAATGTGGTACACCTTACTTAAAATGTCATTGGAGCCTCAAGTTCTTCAGTCTTCTAAAAGGTGACAGGTGCATCTTTCCATCACCGTTTCCTCTACCTTGAATGAGTTATGTGGACTGGCTGTATATCACCTGCATGCTGTAGTTCCATCTCTTTCAAAATTGTGTCTACTGCAATTAAATTGTGCCACTGCAGTTAAGTATGGACTTGGAAGCAGAATGGAGGAAAAATAGTACTGGAAGGGTATAAAAAAAATCAGAGCAATCAAACTTCTATTTACTTTGGATAAAAGACAAATGCTGAAGCTAAAAGAGCAAAAACAGATGGGAAAGAATGCAAGAGGAGCAAGAAGAAACAGGGAGAAGTGTTTGATGCTGCATTCTGTGGGGGAGAGCATGCCTGCCTACATATTAAGGAAGGCAACGTTAAGTCAGCAATCTGTGAAGGTACATAGACTCTTGCCATTGAAAATACAAAGAAGAAATGCAGATTTAGCATTTCTAAATGCCTAGATTTAGGCAGCTGCATTTTTTAAATTGATTCAAGCTCTCCAATGCTGATTTTTTAGTTTCATGTTCTTAGTGTTACCACAGTTAACATTGTAACTTAAAGCTGAGCAGGAAGCTCCGTTACACTCAAGTGAAACTTGCAGCTTTGGGAGGAGGTGGAAGCCAAGTTCTTCATATGCAAATAAAGGAATCTTTCTATTGTCTTAAATTATATTAGCAATCTATTATGGTGGTGACAAATTTTGCATTTTAACTTCTGTGTTTTTCTTTTAAATTAGTCAAAAGGCATTTGGTTACCTCTGTTGCATATCTGGCAACTTTGGTGCCTTTGGTTGCTTTCGCCTTAAACTACTTAGCCGATTAGAGCATGGTGCTTATTTTTTTCAGTTGACAACTATGAAATCCTCACCTAGCATTTCTTGTGAGGTCATCCATTTCAGGAAAAAGTTAGCTCTTCTAGTGAAGGAATAGTGAAATTTTTGCTTTAGTTGAGTTTACAGCATTATTGTAAATACTTTTTAAGAGCATCTGTACATTTTGTCAATCTAGAGCATTCATGGGCTGGAGGAGTATTTCTGTGCTGGAATAAGACAGCCGCTCCATAACATTTCTGCTCTTTAACTGACAGCTCACCTCTGTCCCGAAGACCCCCTCCAGCAGCTGGAAGTTAGGGAAGCAGAGATTATTGCTCTGAATTATTTTTTTAACTTGAATAATTACTTGTTTTCTAAATCTGTAAACTTGTTCAAAACACCTGAAACTTTTCCCAGTAAGCCCTTCATATATACATTCTCTGATCTGTTGTAGAATATGTATTAAGACCTATGAATTTGTGTTATGTAGGAAGTCTTATTGTTAATACTTTCATTAGTGATGTGAAAGCCTGAGTGCTACTGTCATATTTTTCATCTACTTTGGGTTACATGTATTCACTTCTAAAAAAAAGTAGTGTTTGCTTGCTGAGATTGGAGATACCAGTCAATACCATGTTACCAAAAAGTCCACTTTGTTCTCTTGGGTGAATTCATAAAATTGGAAACATCACCAAACTCAAACCTCTGTGAATTGGCAAAAAAAAAAAAAAGGCACTTTAGAAGTGCATAAAAGAGTGATGAGGATAAAAGTGATGAGGATAAAAGAATGAGCTTGGTGAGAATGAAAAATATGGTCAATTGACCCAGCAAATACTGGAGCAGTGAGCCTATCAAAAACCAGTTTTATGCAAGTGTAAAGAATGGGGTTTGGCAAACGGTCCTCAAATGATGCTAAATGGCTTCAAGGCTTTGCATGCTTAGAGGAAAGAAAGGTGAGGAAAAAAACTCTTACTTTGTGAATGGGGGGGTACTGAGATTTGCGTAATGTAAGGCAAAGTTTGTATATAGTTAAAGGTTTATAATTTTTTTTATATGATGCATTTTTTCAAGTGTATTTTGGTCTTTAATAGATGCAATTGTAAGTACTGTGTACACTATCCAGCTAATAAAAAATTATAAACTGAGTACTAGCCTGAGCTGTGTTTTCCAGTCCAGTCACTCCGTTCAGTCAAGCAGCAGTGGCACCAAGGGAGGAGGTGGCGCCCGCAGGCAGCTTTCCCAGCTCTGCCCCGAGGAGTGGAAGGGGGTGTTGGGCACGTTGCTCCATGCTCTCCTGTTCGGGGGGAAAGGGCCCGGGCGCCCTTCAGACGTTACCAGGTACCTGCTCCTCTTGTCCTCCAGCTGCAAAATGGCGGCCGCCTCACGCGAGGCGGTGCCTGAGGCAGCAGCTCTGCCATCCCCGCGGGTGAGCGAGTGGTGGAAACCGATTGGCTGGTGGAAGCCGGGGCATCCAGCTGCGAGTGCCCATTGGGTGGGGGCCACTGCGGGACAGCTTTGATTGGCCAGGGGCGGTGCCCGGCCCTCCTCCCGCAGAGCGGGGCAGCAGCGCCGCGACATGGCGGCTGTGGAGGGGGTGGCTGCAGCTGGGACGGTCCCGTCAGACGCAGAGCAGGGACGGGCCTGGCCTCCACTGGCCTCTCGCTGCTGTGCTGTCAGGGCAGCCAGTGTCACCTTTCAGTGGAGAAAATGACCTTGCTGCGCTGGGGGAGGAAATAAAGGCTGTGTCAAGCTGGGCAGCGTTGCCTTCGTGTGTCCATCCCAGTGTGAGGAAAATAAGCATTGGGTGAGTCTTTGGGCAGAAGGAGGTTCTGCTCTAATTATTACATGAAAGAAAAATTAGCGTTTTAATTAATAATAGAGCTGTGCCTAGTACTCAAAGTGTGGCCCTTCCTTTCCTGACCATCTGGTGGATTCCATTTGGCCTAGTGCCCGAAGTGCCCCTGGCTGACAGACCCATCTCGTGTATCCTTGTTCTAGGCTTCACTGCGCACCTTGCACAACTATCCCTGAAAGATGGTGTGGGGGGAAAGCCCCCCTGGAGCATAGGAGGTGCCACATAAATGTGTTGCGTGAGTGTAAGTAAGTGATGACAATCCAGGGTTTTTTTGTATCTTTATGTTCTCTTCCATGAAGGTGTTATTTTCTTGCCTCTGTAATCCAGATATCATGTTAGCATGTCATTGTCCAAATATGACTGAATGGACACCCTCATAAAGAGCTTATTGCTTGTGTTTTGGTACAAAAGAAAGTTTCTTTCTTAAAAGGACTGGATAGGCTTTCAAAGGTTTAAGAGATGCTCAGCTTCCGTGTCTGTCTGCTAATCCCCCTTGGGCATGCCATTTCTTCCATGCAAGCTGCTCAGGATCTGTCAACACTATTGTAACTGAAACACTAGAAAATATGATAAAGTAAATACTTTTGTTAATAATAAGGTCATGCACACTTAGGCACTCTTTCTGCATGGTAAGAAGTAGTTGCAGATTGTCAGAGTATTCCTTAAATACTTGTGTGTTTTTTCCCTTTACAAAGCTTTTTGGGGATGGCAAAACATCATGGTCTGCCTCAGGTGCAGCTGTTCTTAGGGTAAGATTTTGCTTTTGCTGGTGCAAAAATCATCCCTCTGCCAGCAGAGGTTCAGAGCCTAACTTGCAGCAGACAGAAACACAGCAAACAGTTGTGTTTCTCTCTGCAGTGGATGCCTTAATAATATTTTCAAAGCGAACCGAGTGACATCTTTACCCTGTCTGTAAAACAGCTGGGAAACATTGGCCGAGTCTCTGTTTAGTCACACTGAAGTGGTCTCAGAGCTCCCAGCTGAAAATGTGTTTGTATCTATAAAGCCAATTATAAGGGGACATAGCCACAGTGCCTGGATTTTAAGTGTCTGAATTAGGAGGAGGGTATCCCTCTTGGGGACTCGGGAGGGAGGCTTCTCCGGGAGGCGGCTGAGAGCAGCCGCTTCGGCGCTGCCGTTCGGAGTCCCCTTCAGTCCAGGCAGCCTCCACGGGTCGGGCCTCCTACCCGCGGCGCTGCCCGGCTGCAGAGCCCCCGCAGACGGGGCCGCTGTGGGGCCTGGACAAAACCGGCCCGGTTTGCCGTCGGGCTGCGGGCGGCTCCGCGGTGATGGCAAAGTGCAGAAATACTAGAAATGTAATTGTTGTCAAACAGAGCAGAATAAATCTCACGGACAGCACAGCCGAAGATTCCTGAATGCAGAGCAGCATGACGGGCAGTGGCCCAAGGGAGTAAGCAGGCATGGTAGGCTTGGAGAGAATGCCCTCTGATCGTGATAGGTTGTCTGTTTGCAAAGACATTCAGATATTGATTTTACTTTTTTTTTTTTTTTTAGTCTGTGTTTAATTTGAAATTCTTTTCAGTTCCCTAACAAGACCAGTAACAGGCCAATTTAAAGCAATCCCTTACTTTGGAGAGAAGTTCTTGTATCTGCTAATCTTGAGCTAGTCACAGTTGCCAGAATCTCCTTGCTTAATTTTGTTTTCTGGTAATCAATATTCTACAGGTGCTGGCTCCGAGAAGGAAAAAGCCAAAAGCTGATCTGTTCAGTTATTGTTATAATGTTATTTCCACATTGTTTCCAGAGAATTTGTAGTAGAGAGTGAATATCAGCCTTAATTCTTCACCCATGTATCTATATATAGGACAATTTAGGACATTTGATATAATAATATATACAAATGTTTTTCAACAACACACTCATTTACTAAAACATGTCAAGTGTAGGAATTGTATTTCTGAAGTCAATCAAAGAACTCATATGCTTACAGTTAAGCAGATTCTTTAATACTTTGCCGCCTTGGGCCTTACGAGCAGGGGGAGTGATGAACTTACGTGTTTGTGTGAGTGAGTTGCTGGAGAAGTTGCAAGCATGAAAGGAAGTGTCTCGTGTTCTCCTATTTCACTGTCCTTTGCTGACTAGGACATTGTGGCAGTTGCTATCACAGAAAACCAGTTTCCTGTATGTGGGCTTATAGTTCCCTGTTGTTTTAAAATAGACCATTTAGAGAAAACAAATATGCTGCAGTGTAATAGTGGATTTGCTTATCAACAGTTGAATTGTCATGCTGTACTATTAGAAAAGTGCATTTTTCCCCCAGGGAAATTCTCTTCATCTGTGTGTGCTGCATCCTTTGTCTGCATTTTGCTTTGTACCCCACTTGTATGTAGCTTCAGCAATTGCTTACAAATGGCTTGCTTTTGAGCACTTTTCAGGAAAATTTTATGAATACACTCAAGACTTCAGGCTGTTTTGTTTTGGTGGACCTGTTTATTTCTTTTCAGCTCCCGAGTGAGAAGTTGTGGCTCTAAAGATAACAGTAGCATATTCTACTGAGTTGCCTCCTGGTTCTTGAAGATGGAAGAAAACTTTTGGAGAAGGTTGAGTGTTGACATATATATCTTCAGGCTTTAGTTGAGGTTGGTGCCCTATCACAGCATATACTGCATTGTCTTTCAGCTCCCCATCTGGTATTCTCCTTGTATTGTTTCTTCTATCCTTTTGAGAAAAAAAAAATATATGAATTGCGAGAAGTTAAAAACTCAGACTGCAGAGCACAGCTGCTCTACTGATGGCAAAAGTGGGCATGGGCATTGGGAATCCTTCTTGCTGTACTTCTCTCTCTCCTTTCTACCAACTATGTACGGCAGAGATGAAACAAAGATGTGGTAATTTTCATGTCCTCTTACCTGCAGCACTGCTCGTCTGAAAGCAGCATGTCTGCCAAAGCCTTTTCCTGGTAGAAAAGACAGAATTTCTTTTGAGTGTAAAACCACAGCTTTACCTTTTCACTTTAAAAATGAATATCCCCCTCTCCCTTCCTTTCCGTTCAACTCGCATATTTCATTTCACTTTCAGCTCAGTCTCATTGTCTCCATGGACAGTAACACCTATGAATAAACCTTCCTTACATTCAGGGTGGTGGGAAAACAGCCCTAAAGGCAAGAGGATTAGGAAGCTTTACCTGCCCTTTTTCTTCTGATGTAAATGGTGGTGAGCAGTATAACGGTAGCAATCAGAGCAGTTGTAGCCAGGAAGGTACTCAGTGCCATGAGAGCATAAAGGTTCCTGCAAGTAAGGGCATGATATCAACGTTACTATTTACAGCACCAGAGGGACTAGGTTGATTTGGGAGGGGATTTGGTGTGTTTGAAGATGGATTATGGTTCCAGGATGGAAATTCAGCATGCAAGTACTACTCCTGTCATCCCTAACAAATGTGGTTTCACTGAGGTCAGTAGTGAATCCCACCCAACTGTATTTTCTTTGGCACGAGGTAAGCCTGGCTTGTACTCAGGAGCTCAGATTCTTTTCCTGCACTCAGTTGAAGCGCTACTAGAGTTAGAAGGCATCCTGCATCAGGATGAATTAGCCCTTCTTAGGGTGTCTCTTTGGTCGGGATCATTAGCAGGGTCTCCTTTGGGCCTGACAGTGACCCTCCTCTGACCCGCTGTGTCGTTTAGCTAGGGTTGGTCTCTGGCTAGGTTGCTTGTACAAGATGCAGAGATATTGCAGGGTTGCATGGGCTGTATAGTGGTCCCTTTGTAAGCAGGCAGAAAGGAACACGGGCAAGCTGAGCATAGTGCTTCTGAAACCAACAGAACTCTACAGCTTTTTGTGGTGCTCAGGAAGGACCAAACTCTGTAGGAGAGAAGGGGAAGCCTGTGTCTGCGCTTGTGCTTCATCCCTCTGTCACGGCATCCCTCAAATGTATCCAGAATGCTATAAGCCTGTGTCTGCGCTTGTGCTTCATCTCTCTGTCACGGCATCCCTCAAATCCTGCAGTGTATCCCGAATGCTACAGCCAGAGCCTGGGAATCCTTGGAGCTTGCTTTTTTTTTTTCTTTTTTCTTTTTTTCTTTTCCTTTTACCTCTGATGCATATTGCTGTCATCTGGGTGCTTGGCAGTCTCCTGCTTCTTAGTGGAAAGTGAAATGGCCTCCAAATCTGTTTCCAGATTCCAGTTTTCCCCTTGGAAGAAAAATAAATAAATAATAAACAAGAGGAGGGGACTTACCCACATACTTCTATCCTGGCGACTTTCTGTCATACTAAAAAATCCTGCTGTGCAGGCTTCTAGGGTGCTCCAGCTTTATTGTCTTTCTTTTTAGCCGTGAAAGATCATACCATTTTAGAGAAGGATATGAAAACTGAGATGCTTATTTGGATGCATAAATGCTGTTAGAAAGGAGATCTTTTAGAGAAAAGACACTTCCTGGGATTTTTTTTTCATATTAGAAGAATCAATGAATTCTTTTCCCTTAATATCTTTGGTATTTCTGCTTTCTGCACTGGCTAAAAGTAGAAAAGAAAGCAAGGTGTTAAAATAAATATGAAATTAAAAGAAAGCAAGGTGTTAAAATAAATATGAAATTTTATTAAAGAACAGTGACAAAGAAAGTAACTCTCCAAAAATTTTTCTCAGGAAATTCAAACAAAGATTTAGGTTTCTTAGGATACATTTCATCTGCTGATGTAAATGTAAAATTTCAGTAGTTGATGAACCTTTGCTAGACACACCTGCCTCGAGTATTGTCTGCAGTTTGTTTATGCCATTAGTATGTGCATCAAATGCATCAAAATGCATTAAAATAAAAAAGATTTTTTTTTTATCTTAGGAAATTTCAAGGCTTAGAAGAGATCTAACACTGACCTGTAATCTTTCTTGCCAAGTGCTAAGAATTTGCTGACTTTTAGAAGGAGATTAACTCACCCAAAACTTCCAGCATGATCCTCTTCAGTGGTTTGTTTCTCCCCTGGAAATGGCTCTCAAGATGATACTCTCCTGAGTCATTAGACTGGAGCTTTTTCAGCCACACTCTAATCATTTTCCACGACAAGTCATTCATCATCTCAGTCCTTCCTTCTTTAACAATACTTTGATCAGTGTTACCTCTGATAATAGGCTGACATCTAATTGGGGATTCCATTTTGCACCAAGTTAAATGTGGAAGTTTCCTTATGTTTCCTATCACAGAGTAAGAGCAATGGAGGGACAGGTTGCTTCCTTCTTTTGCAAATAGCCTTACAGGTTCTAAAGAAAATAAAGCAATGACTCATTAGAGGTAGATTTTTTTTAACATTTTCTATCCCCACAGTGATGTACAACCCACCAGATGTCCCGCTTTCATTCTTTTAATGAATGAATGAAATCCAGCAAAATTGTATTCATGTTTTCTGATCATAATTCCTAAAATTGCTTTTCTGGCTTTGGCTCTTTTTGATTTCACGTGGCAAAAATAAGATTCCAGTTACTTCAGCTTCTAGAGACCTATAAATATGTATACAGAGCTATATAGAAGAGTTAAACAATGCTCTTGATAACCTCTAGTGGCATCTTTATGTTTACATACACCCTGTTTTACTGTTAAACCAAGAATGTTGTTTCACTCTTGCTTTACTTTGATCATCACCCACCCAGAGCACCATTGACCTTACAGCTCACCCTCAGCAGAAACCACGATCTTTACTCTCTGCAGTAGAATTTTCTGCAGGTCACTCCACATCCCACACTGATAAATGCCAGAATCATCTTTTCGAAGTGTTCTCATGATCACAGAAATCCATCCACGTCCAGTGTCTGTCAGGTCAGCTGAGCGACGCTGTGCCGGGTTACGGTGCATTCTTTCCATCAAAGGGACACTCAAGGCTAAGACTGGACAAGATCCCTGTGACAGCTCCTTGCACCAGAATTTCATCTTATGTAAACTCTCATGCATGTTGTATGAGCAGTTAGCTCTGAAGGAGTCTCCTGCAGCTTGCAGAAACACTTGCAGGTCCTCACCTGACATGCATGATCCTTCCGAAGAAAGAAGAAAAGTGATGCTAGAATATTTTAGTATGCCAGTTTTTCTTATGTTACATCACTAATAATACTCTTACCCTGAGCCTCTGATGAGAGTAACTTTGCAAGTTTGTCTAAATAAACACCTATGTTCAGTCTTGGTGCCACTCACTACCTTTTTTTTTTCCTTCTTCTTCTTTTATTCCGTTAAGTTGTTCCTAACAGGCAACTTTCAGCCTGAACATTTCCTCCTCCCATGAACAATTGAGAATCTTATTCCATGTCTTGCCTTAGCTGGCCTGAGTGAAAAGTGTGCAAGCGAATGCACAGTTTGTGCAATGTGTGCAACAGACAGAGAGTATCTTCTGCCTTAGAGAAATACGGGGTCTCTGAGCCTTACCTGGTAGTGCCAGCAAGAAGAGCAGGGCTGGAAAATCTCCCATCCTGAAGTAGCAAGTAGTTTATGTCGTGGAGAAAAAATATATCCTACAGCGTCTTTATCACTGGAAAATTCTTTAGTGTGGAGGAAGCTAATTTACTTTGTCACTTACTGGCATCTGCTGCCCCAGAATGATGAGGCCAATTGGGAGTTGCTGAGAAAACCACAAATTCAATATACTTTTTGGATGGGAAGGCTGCTTAATCTTTATTGGTTGCTTTTCACTTTAACAGCACCACTGTCTAGATAGCCTTATTTAGCAATCAGACTATGGCTGGAAAAGAAATACGCATTTTCTGTCTGTAGTGCCACCTTAACACATTACAAGAGCAGCTTTCGGTTGTATATGTTCTTCATTACTACCATTCTGCACTTCCCTGCAAGCTAAATGGCCGGGGGTATCAAGAGGCTCAGGGCACTTCTGTACACTGCAAACAGACCAGCATGTTCTAAAAGTTACCTCTTCTCTGGATGATTTATTATCATCTAATATACTCCAACTCTTTGTCATGAAGTCACACTAAGCAGGATAATCAAAGTTGATTTTATTTATCTTTGCAAGCAGTGTAGGCAAAAGACGTGTAAATAGCTCTGGGTTTGGAGTAGAAAAGTGGGCTTAGTTGAATGCTTGCTGACTCTGTTTTTTGTGTGAAATTCAGCATGATGTAATGGGAACTCTTCCTTGCAGATTGAATTGCAGTTTCACTCGTGGGAGCAATGAGCAATGATCACATGTTGGTAACATCCCCTTTATGAAAGGGAAAAAGTACGGAGAGAAATGAAGCAAGACAGTTTGTTCTTTGCAAAACTCTGAGAAATTTGGAAGCAGGCTCGGAGTTGCGCGTAGACTCCACATCCCTCTCTCTTAAGTTTTGCAGTTTGTTGTGCCTCTCCATAGTCACTGTCCAGCAAAAATCCACACCATCCACCGTGATCTTTGGTAGTGAGTCCTTTCATCACCTTGAAGACTCCGAGATGGCATGAAATCGACAGGTCTCAATTCACAACCTAGGGAAATGATCCTAGGGACCATGTGGAATAACTGCCAGTGGGGTCATGCTGTTACTGGTCCCTCTAGAGATGGTAAGGGAGAACTGCATTGCCGTCACTGTGGCTTTAGGCTTTAGAGAGAGGAATCTCAGTTATAAAACTGATTTCTAGATAAATAGCAATACCATTTTTTAATACAAACTGTCCTCTAATGGCTATATTTTGGGTGGGAACTTTCAAGGGTTTTATGGAGATAGGTAAGACATGCTGAGAAAAAGGAAAAGCTCTTAGCTCTTTAACACTAATCTTCGATGAATCGGGAAAATTCCAGCCTGACACAGAGCTAGGGGAGAAAAGAGCAGAGCTCTCACCTCTCCAGTTCCTGTGGAAGCACCTCTGCATGCAGGCAAGTCTGGGCCGGATCTGAAATACCCTGTATACCCTCCTATCCCCTGCCCCAGCCCTTTCCAGCAGGTTCAGGTGTTGCTGACAGCCTCTTTTTGGGGCTGTTGTGATGAAGAAAAGTGTTGGTCAGAGACGATATGGAAAGGTGGCAGATGCTGGCATTCCTTCCCTGGAGTCCCTGCTGCCTGTGTTTAGTAGATAATCCTTATGGCAAAGCTTTCTTTGCCTGGGACTGTTTGACACCCGTTGCCGTGCGATTCCCTGCGATTCGGATCTTCTCTAAGCAGTGTTTTCCCAGGAGGGGCTGACTCCATCCCGTGCCTGTTCCACCAGGCTGCCAGGGAACGGGAGGAGCTGCTGTTCATGGAGACTTTGGTTCTTCTGCTCTGTGCCCGTGTCTTTGTTTTTCCTACTGCTGGCAATGGTAAAGGTCAGCACAGCCACCAGGAACTTCATAACCAGGAGTCCGATGATAATGCACAAGATAATGGAGTCAGCTTCAGGAGCGATGCTGTGGGGAACCAGAGAAAATTCAGTAAGGCTTAACTGGGAAGGGACGATTCAACCTTAAAGACACTCAGTGCAAAGATGATCCCTTGCAGTAGGCAGTCCCTGCTTGCACACAACATTCTGGAAGATTGGAACAATTATGAATGGTTTTAACTGTAAAATCTCACATATAGATTAATTATGATCTGCAGGAATTGTTTTTTCTGGCATAAAAATAGTGCTTTTTCTGCATTAGGAACAGCTGCTACCTAGAAACCACACAGCAGCTCTGAAAATGTTCATGGATTAGGAAGAAGCAGAGAACATAACGTGATATTCCTCTCAACTAATCAAATACTAATCTGTTTTAGCCCAAGGAAGGTTGAAGGTCACAGCTTCAGAAGGATTTTACATCTTACCTGGAGATGCTTTGCACAGCATTAGGCTCCTCTGGCATTTCGGTGTGCACTGTATCTGATGCTAGAAAACAGAGAAGTTGAGTCTGCAGATGCTTGAAGGTGATTGTGTTGGTGCTGCTACCACCGGCATCCCAGCTAGGCATAGATAACCATGATAAGACTGGGCACTGGGCTATGAGCCCAGAGATTAATGTGGCTGCTAACGAGGGGAGAGATGTGCATGGGGTATCCCGCAGCAGCGAGGTCTTGTCACTGTAAATCAGGAACTAGAAAGAGGCAAACGCAGCACGGTTACCTCCTTAAAGACAGGCCAGTCTAGACTAGATGTTTACCAGAGTGAGGCACTGGCATCTGCAGACAAGCCTGAAATTTAAGTAAGAACTTGAGAACTCAGGAAACTCAGGGCCCCAGTGCCTACCTGTCAGCACTTCCACTTGCACCTTCTGCAAGGTTTTTGTTTCTCCCAGGTACTCCGTTATGCAGCGGTAGAGCCCGGCATCCTGCTTCTTGAGCCTCTTCATGGTCACTGTCAGGACCCCTTCATGGACGTTGTCCCTGATGGACGTGGTGCCATTCCTGTTCTTCAGGAACTGCAGCCAGAAGCGGCGGGCACTCACCACATGCTGGCACTTGATCTCATCCACCTGCTTGCACCAGCTCTTTTCTCTCCACCGCTGCTGCCAGGGGTTATAGGTGCAGTTGATGGAAATGGTCCCACCTTCCATTCCGTAAATGACAGTGATGTTCTCTGCAGTGCAGGGAGCTGGGAGAGGAGGAGGAAGCTGTGAGCTAAGTCTCTCTCATACCTATCCCTTATCATTAAGTTACAGAAATAACTTTTTCCTTTTTCATAACTCTAGTGATGACTGCTGTCTACAGTAGAATCTTTACTGTAGGTGTATCACCCACCCACCTCCCTTGTGAAACATGAATGTGCTCAGATTCCGAGTCTTCATTCAGACTTTCTTGAAACGTTTCTCTACTGATCCCTCTGATGGGGATGCTATTAGGCTCTTACTAGGCAGCTGTTCTTTTGTGAGGGACCTGAGGAGGGAGGAAGTAGTCCTTCATTAGTATTTTCAGATTTTATGAAACTTGGCACATGTTGGTTCTCGCCGTCCCCTTCGGGCCCTGGGTTGACTGCTCAGGACTGCAGGCTAGAGCTCAGCCGCTCCGTGCTCTCCGGAGTCTCAATTTTCAAAAGTTCTTTATACAAGGCAGATCATAAAAAAAAGGCTGTCCCAATAATGTCGAATGGTTTTTGAGTTGCTCTCAGCTGGACATGTCTTGCTGTCACATCCCTCCACTCCTTTGCAGCGTCCAAGCTGCTCCCTTGTGTGAGCAAGGCAGTTTTCTTCCCGTCGTGGTCTTGGGCCTTTCTACATGTGTTCACACATGTGGATTTGATCGTGAAAAGAACTCTCTACTCCTGGAAATGTCCTTTCCCGGGAGTGTCCGTGAAATTTATCCCCATTCTAAGGCCCTTTACACAGCCAGGGAGAAGCAACACAGCCCTAGCAAAAGCTGGAATCAGTGACAGCTATAGACCAGTGTCCAGGTAGCTGTTACAAGGTTAGGTTTTAATCCAACCTTTGATCTTGAATGCTAGGTCTTTGCATTTTTTTTCACTTTGTGTTTTTTTTAATATCCTATGCTAATTTTAGTCCTCTTGACAGCTTGTGTTCAGCTGCTTGGCTTTCTTGCCTTAATTCCTTCTTTCTGATTTCTCTTCCTCTTTATGGTAGGCAACTGGAGAAGGGGTAGTCAAATCTATTAATACTTGGAGACAGAAGTGCCACGTGGTATTTGTGAAAATCTGTTAAAATTAGAGGCTACTGACTTCTGTGAAACCCTGGCTAGCGCTAAAAACAGAAGCAAATAGAAAAACAGGTTAACTTTGTGCTGACTTTTCTAATAACACACCTTAAAAGAATTTCAACCATTCAGAGTGAAGTGGAAACAAACAAACAAAAAAAGAAAGAAATGAAAGGATTTTTATGATAAGGAGAAATGCATGTCTTGCTCTCCAAGGTTCTAACAGCTACAAGGCTCCCCCTCTAGTTCCAGCCCTGCAAGCCCAGCCCTGTCCTGCGTAATCCGGCTCAACACTGTAACCTCCTCTTCTGTTTCTGTTGTGCTCCCCTTCCTACCTCTAGTTCTGTCACATTCTTCATTCCTGACATGGGATGGCCCCAGGTTTTTTTTTTTTTTTTTTTTTTTTGACCAGGAACAGCATTGCAAAAATCTCTTGGCATTTAAAGACTTGTTGATGTCTGCATGGAAAACTTTGTGTCACTAACTGGCTGAGCAAATTTGCTGATGGGCCATTTGCTATTTCTGTTTTTCCTGACATGTTCTTCACTACTGAAAAAAAGGACATTTTCTATGCTCATTCAGACTTTTTTGTCATAATTGAAACAGATTTCTGTGCTCCCCAGACCTGAATATGGTATCTTTCCTTGCACAGCTGTATCTGGGATCTCTACATTGTGGCTGGGAAAAACTCTCAACTGGGAATCCCAGCTGGATCCTGTGCCTTGTGTCTGGTGCTGTAAGTTGTCAGAGTCTGAGAGAGTGATGCTCTACAGAGATGTCCTCCCAGTTCAAAGGTTTCATTTCATTGTCCCCAAGATTTCAGAGGAGCTGTCCCTACCCCGTTGAGCTTTCCTTTGCTCTGCATCAGCCTTAGCTGCTGCAGTTCACATCTGAACTCTTCCAAAGGCCAAACAAATAGGGTTTGGCAATTTCACTTTCTGAGAGGGCACATAAGAGTTCTGCCAACAACGTTTCCTCTTTTGATTCAAAGGATTCCTATAAAAAGAGTTGAGCACTTGCATCCCCACTGGCCCTTCATTAAATCAAGGGAAAAGCCAAACTGGAGAAGGTGTCCGATGCTGCCATGGCATGGGCAAGAGGGTGGCCAGAGCGCAGCACAGAGCACCCTGCAGCGTGGAGCACAGCACAGCGCAGAGCACCCCACAGTGCAGAGCACCCTGCAGCGTGGAGCACAGTGCAGAGCACCCTGCAGCACAGAGCAGCCCACAGCGTGGAGCACCCTGCAGCACAGAGCACCCTGCAGCGTGGAGCACAGCACAGTGCAGAGCACACTGCAGCACAGCGCACAGCGCAGAGCCACAGCGTGGAGCACCCTGCAGCACAGAGCACCCTGCAGCGTGGAGCACAGCACAGTGCAGAGCACCCTGCAGCACAGAGCAGCCCACAGCGTGGACCACACCGCAGCACAGAGCACCCTGCAGCGTGGAGCACAGCACAGTGCAGAGCACCCTGCAGCACAGAGCAGCCCACAGCGTGGAGCACCCTGCAGCACAGAGCACCCTGCAGCGTGGAGCACGGCACAGTGCAGAGCACAATGCGGAGCATCCCACAGCGTGGAGCACCTCGGAGCATGGAGCACCCCGCAGTGTGGAGCACAGCACAGTGCAGAGCACAACATGGAGCACCCCACAGCGCAGAGCATCCTGCAGCGCAGAGCACGCTGCAGTGCAGAGCACCCCACAGCATGGAGCACCCCACAGCACGGAGCATAGCACAGAGCACCCTGCAGTGCAAGGCACAGTGCAGTGCAGGGCACAGCGCAGTGCAGAGCACCCTGCAGCGCAGAGCACCCTGCAGCACAGGGCACAGCACAGCCCTCGTCTCCCAGTGCCTGCGCTGCGCTAGGTCCCAGCAGGGCACTCGCAGGCCTCCGTGCTACAGTGAGGCTGCCTTGGCATCCAGAACAAACTGTTGTGTCTCAAGGCTTGTGCAATTTTTTCCCATAGCCCTGCTGGTACCTTGTGCTAGGTGCAGGAAAATACCGAGTTTTGCAGCAGTCCTGAACCCTGTCCCTTAACTGCAACTCCAAGCGCCTCTGCTTTCTTACCTGACAAGAAGACCAAGAGGACGAGGTCCATGAGCTTTCCCATGTCTCTCCAGCAGGGCAGGGCACCAGAGTAGAGGCCGAAAAAAAAGACAAAAGCAGAGCCCAAGGGCAGCTTGCTTTTTCCCTCTTTGTTGCTCAGCATGAAGGGATGAGCACAGGAACTTGGCATTTTTTTTCTGTCCCACACATTGAGCAATTTGCCAGGAACAGGCATTTTTCTTGCAGGCTAAAAATGGAGGCATCAGCATTGGCCGCTCGCAGCCAAGGTTTAGTCTAGACAGCCTGAAGGGGAGCATCATGTGATGGCCTGAAGCCGTGGCCCCGTGAGGCCTCTGAGCTCACCAGTAGTGCCCGTCCTTCCAAGGAGGCTTTTCACGCAATGTAAATGCTGGAATGCTAACAGGGAAGGGGGGTGCAGCTTTCCACACCGTTGGGTAACTCAGCATCAAGAGAGTGAAGTGGAGGCAGGGACACAATCTGGGAAGTCATCTTCAGTGGAAAGAGATTCAGAAGAAGCTGCGTATGCCACGTTTATCCTCTACTGTCTCATACCTCATGTTTCTGGATGATTAGTAGCATTTTTGACCCACTGATTGCATGAATGGCTGGGTTAGCTTTCTGTAACTATTTTCTTTTTCTTTCTTTTGTTTCAAGTTAAAAGGGTCAACTCTGAAAACCTCAAGGAATAAACTGTCTTCCATGCTGCAGCCATAGCAGGATAGGTCTGTAGCGAGGCTGGATTTGACTGGCCTGTGAGGAAAGGGTAGCTCAGGCCCTTGGATTTGCTGCATGTCTGCAGGGTCTGCAGAGCTTGGTGAGGACAAAGCGTCAGGTTTTGTGTTTTGGGGAGTGTGGCCTGAGCCCCAAGCACCTCATTTCACATCACTTACCAGGTGATTACTAGGTAGAGGCAGCGAATGTATCATGTGGAGTATTTCCAGCAGAGCTAGGGTGGCAAGGCTCAGGCACTGTCCAAGTCCCTACTGAGCTGGAGCTCTCCCATGAGGACCTATGTGTTCTGGTATCCTTCAACTGAGCAAGAAATCACAAAAAGAAAAGGAAAAAGAAGTGCTGGGAGTAGGAATGCAGGATTTCTGCAGCTGCACTGGTGGATAGGCCAGGAAGAGCTGCTAAAATTACAACACGTGCTGACGGAGAAGCTACATTGGAACTGGCTGGAGAGGACATTCCTGTTACCCTGTGGACAAGAAGTTCAGTGCGTTGTACGAAGGGGTTTGAGAGTTTGTGGCAAGATTACTCATGATGGCAGGGATTTGATGAAGTACCTGCCTGTCTTCTCTTCCTGTGGCAAGTCTTGGAGATCACCTGCCTCTGTGATCTCCATATTGCATGTGATCTCCTCATATTGCATGTCTGACCCCCTTGGACATCTCCTTTTGTAAAGCATCCACCCTGAAATACTGCTTCCCTTCTGTTTTACCACCTGATGTTGAAACCAGCCCTCTTGTGCTCATACCTCTTCCTCTGATCTCTCTGTCACATTTCCTGCAGCTTCCCTGCTGCCCTGCCAGGCTTTTGCCCTCTTATCTGTCTTGGGGCTTGTAAGGCAAAATCTGTTCAAAAAGTCCTTGTGCCCTGAACGCCTCTCTCGTGCAGTAGTGCATATTGTTGCTTTTTCCAGAAATATTGATTTTGTTGTTCTCCCTACCTTGTCTTTATTACACATTGCTTTGGTTTAAGCAGCCAGTTTGTGCACCCTCAGGAAAGAGAGGATGTGGGGCGAGGAGGCCGGCCAGGAGCTGTTGAACAGGGCAAGGCCCTTGGAGGAGAAGGGGGAAGGCTGGAGCAGCCTGCTCAAGCTACAGATAGGAAGCTGTGCCCATGCCTACAGATCTCCTGCACTGCTTCATTGTCATTTGCAGTGGCTCTGGACAAACCTACCTGAGTGCAAACTGAGCCCTCAAATTTGTAAATAATGGAGTTGTAGGGGAGCAGTGTTGAACTTCCAGGTGCATGCTCCAGTTCTTGCTCCAAAGCTAAACATTTACTTTTATTTGAAAGCCTCTTATCATTTCTCTTACCTATGGAGTCCAATAAATTTAGAATATGCAGGGATTTACACACACATGCAGTTGTTTTGCAGCTAGAAGATGTTCTAGTGCTCTGATTCACACAGCAGGGTCCCTCTCAGTTTCTCAGGTTTGCGGTGCAGCGTTCCAGCTGGCTGCCAGGTGTCCTCTAGGCTTTTCCCTTTAGGCAGGTTCTGCTTCTGCTTTTTGCTCTGACTCCAGTACTGACACCCTCCCCCTGTTACGTGACAGAGGAACCCAGTCTCATCAGCGTTCAGCTTTCCTACAGCAGCACCAAAATGGGCTTTCCTGGCTGGGGTTGCTGAGCCCTTAGGAGCAGAATGGACCTTGTGCCAGTGAACGCATCCAGGCAAGTACTGCCCCCTTTAAAAAGGTTGCTCCTCCATACCTGCTTTTCCAAAGGAATCTGCATTTTAATAGAATCCAAGAAAATCGATGTGCAGCAGACCCTGGGGGTTACCCAGCGCCTTTCGGACTGGAGAGGATCCGCACAGCAGTGTCAACATTGCTGACCGCCTCCTGTAGCTGGGAGGCCTTAAAATGCATGGGCAGACTGTACATAGCAGCAAATCCGTAGTTCTTTTTCCCGTGTCCTTGCAGACACCTGCTGTGCCCCATTCCCTCTCCGTGTTTGTTTCTTTTCCCCCATTTCTGGATTGTTTGACTCCTGTGCTTCATCCTTTGCCATTCGTGTGTAGTTGCTTGAGTGCAATGTTCGCGTATTCCACAGTTTCAGCTTTGGAGTTCCTGGGAACCTGCTGTAGCCCAACGTTGGCATAGAGAGGTTCCTCAGGGCTGCCCTGGCCTGTGAAGTTCAGGGTGACGTATTTTAGCTCTTCACTGTCTTTCCTGGGACTTCCCATTCGTTCAGTGGTCTGAAACTGAGGAACAAAGGAAAAAAAGGGAAACACTTAGCATGATTCAGTGCCAGGCCCAGCTGTTGTCAAAAAAACAGGATTCTTGTAGCGGGAAGGAGAGTCATACAGAAAATCAGCTTTTGTTACGGCAGAGGTGGAAGAAGAGCAGACCCTTTCTTTCAGCTCCTTGCCTCGTACATACTACAGCTTCAGCTTCCAACCTTTGCTCCTAGCCTAAGGAGTTGAGTCATTTCTTGGAGTCTGATAGAATCTGTTGCACTCCATTGTTTTCCCACTGGAGTTTGCTAACGTTACCTGTCTCTGCTCACCGAAGAACTTGCCTCTTTCGGTAACATGTTAAATACCCCCTTCCCTCCTGCCCCAAAGCAGAAATGAACATGAACTTTCTTATCACATGGCTCAGCTAGGTCCTCCCAGGCTATTGGTGAGTGATTTAGGAGCCACACGGGAAATCTGTTGTTTTTCTTACCTGTTCTGTGTCCTCTGGTTTGTCGTAGATGTCTTGTGCTTGTCTGTTACCTTAGGAATGAGCCAAAATCAAAGGTTTTAGAAGTAGAAAGGTGCATGGATTCCCTGGGCACTTACTATGTTCAGGAGTTCAGGGGAAGGCTGTAGGGTGTCCTAGTGAGGGATGTGACAGGAGGGATCTGTGTGCCGGTGAGACCCATCTTCCCTGGACCTGCCACAGAACCTGTCGCTCTCCCTTTACTCTACCCCGGAATGTCTGACCAGGGTGGATTTAGGAGGTGTCTTGGGTGGAGTCTGCAGGAACAGGAGCAGGATGGTGATTTATTGTAAGAGGAGACCGCAGCAGAAGGCTGCCTTGAGGCTTCCCAGGCTGCACCTGCCTTACGTTTTCCAGGGTATTTGAGGTGGGCATAAGTTCAGTTGGAGTGGAAAATGTATGGCCAGAAATCACCCTATTTAGTGCTGCCTCGAACGTGGGAGGCAGCACCAGTCTCACGTACCTCGTCTCAGCTGCCTGCGCTTCTTGATGCACAGTGTTACCACGCTGATAAGAGGCAGGATGAGCAGGATGGCCAGGACCACGTAGAGGAGGATGAAGATGCTTGCAGTGGATCTGAAGTTGGAGGAACAAAGGAGTTTGCAGTGTTAGCGGGCAGCACAGCAAGGTGCTGCATGGCCTGCTGCCAAAGGTGAGCAGCAAGGGACAGGAATAACTTGTGCGCTTGGGATGAGAGCTTGAATCTCATGGGGCAGTGCTGTCTAGGTGGTTGTTACCTTGCTGTGCCTTTTGAGCTAACTGCTCTCTGGGTTTTGGAAGCTTGAACAGTGATTTGTCTTAGAGCACAATTCCGAGCCCTTTGGAGCAGGTGCTACCCTTTCCTCCTATGGTTTCCTGCGCTTGGCACACTGAGAGGCAGTGTGTGATTGTACTCTTAAGTGTTGCTGTCCTGTGCATGACAGCAGATGACCAAAGAGAAAGAAAATCCTGTATATTTAATAACCTAGTAAATAGAAGAAGGAGGGGATTACAGCTGAGTGACTGTTTCACTGTTAATTCCTAGTAAGGATGCCTGTGAAACCTAATTTCTCCTTAAGCAGGAGTCTTTGGAGTGCACAGAGATTGCCCGTCCCCAGCAGGTCATGGCTGGGCCATGAATGGCTCTGATTTGCATTTCTTTGGCCTTACCGTTCTGGCGGTGCAGGTGTTGTGAAGCTGGCATCATCGGTGCAAGGAGGTGGTTGGCTTGTGTCTGCAATGACTGACAAAATGAAGTTACAATCACTGATAAGAAGCCAAGAATGGGCATCTGGGGGCTGTTTTGCATTTAGCAGTGAAACATTCCTGCCATTGCTTCCGCTGGTATAAATGCAATCATGCCACGTGTGTCACTCATGCTGTGACACACAAGCTGGAGGAGCTGCCCAGCCTATAAACCAGGATCATCCAGGGAGTTGGGAGCAGGGAAAGCAACAGAGAGCTCAGAATGTGTGAAGGAGGGGGAAGGGGCTCGACGAGCTCTGCTACGTGTTCCCACCCCACTGCATGGCAGGGGTTTGTGATACAGGTGCTGGAAGATGGGGTCCGTGGCACAGATCTTCAGGTAGCAATGAAGTCTTAAACAACACTGTGCATAAAAAGATAGAGGTTTGTGAAAAATAAGCAAAGAACATAAAGATTTAGTGAGAAAATTGCTTTGGAGACTGCTGTGCCGCAATGGAGACAGTGTATGCAGTAGCTGTGGTTCCCTACGCAGTAGTACGCACCCTTGGGAACATGGAGTGTGACCTCCAGGATGCGGAACAGCTGAGGGGGCTCGTAGAGCGCACACCAGTACACGCCGGAGTCCTGTGCGCGCAGCTGCGTCAGGGTGACCGTGACAGTGTATGTCCAGAGGCCGTCCTGGATGGTGGCTGTGCCTGGTTGCGCCGTCCCGCCATGTCTTGGGGGCTGCTGATCCGTGTGGGCCAGCACGACGCACTCCTCCCCTGCTCCCACCTTGCACCAGGCTTTTGGCACTGCCCTGTATTTGTAGTTGTACGGGCACTGCACCAAGAGCGAGCCGGACTCCGTGGCTGTGTACCGCTGCGTGCCTGGAAACAGGAGCATGTGGTGAGCCCCCCGGAGCGCCCGAGGGCCGCAGGGCGCTGCCCCCTTCCTGGCTGCGAGTCTGCCCGGGCGGCAGCTCGGGACAGGCCGGGAGGGAAGCAGAGGCAGGAAAGCGGCAGCCGCGCGGTTCTGCAGAGCTACTCACTCTTGGACACGGTGAGCCTGACTTCCAGTGCCCAGGTGCGGCGGGCGGCTGCATCGAGCACACACCAGTACACGCCGGAGTCCCATTCCTGCAGCTTCTCCATCGTGATGGTAACAGTCTTGTACCCTGTGTTGTCCCGCATTGTGGTTCTGTGTTGTGGGGCTTTGCTGTAGCTCTGTGTCGAAGAGTCATTTATGCTGACCAGGGTTTTGCACGGGGTGCTGCCTTCCTGCCGGCACCAGGCTTTTCTCGTGCTGGACGGCGGGGTGCTGTAAGGGCACTGCACAGTGAGCGACCCCAGCTCCTGCACACGGATCTCTGGGAAGCAGCAGACGTGAGCGCTGTGAGAGGGCTGTGGGCACACGGGCGTCCCGCTCCCCGGCTGATGGTACCCGGCCCCGGCTGCCTGGGTAACTCCGCTCCAGGAGGGAAGGGCTGGGCAGGAGCCAGACGGCTCTGAGGAGGGAGCCCGGGGCCCTGCTGAGGAGTGGGGAGGGGGCAAGTGCAACCAGGAGGGAGAGGATGGACGGCCTGGGGCAGGGACTGGTGCTCCTTGGTGACAAGACCTGAGGTGGTTCAGGGGCAGGGACTCACCCTTGAACACGTGCAGCGAGATGATCTTCAGTAGAAAGTATGTGTTGGTGCTTTGATGGTAAGCACAAGAGTACGTGCCTGAGTCCTGTACCTGGAGGTTGCGCATGGTGATGAAAACGGTCCCGTTTTCGGTGTTGTCACGTATGGTAACTCTGGCACGTGTGTCCTGCTCTGCGTACGTGCCACGATATGTGTAGTACGTCTCTGCTAAGACATCACATTCTCCATTAGTCATTCGGCACCAGGCTTTGAGCAAAGGGAAGCTGGCCTGTTTCGTGTACGGACACTGGAGAAGGAGAGTGCTGCCCTCCGGGTGGCTCTTCGTGGCATCGGCTGCTTGGGCCCGGACCCCTGCGAAGGGCAGAGCTGGCCTTGCAGTTCTGCTTTCACAGCCTGGCGTAGGGCAGGCGCCCAAGGGGGTAGAGTGGGACCTGGCACCTTGCAGGCCCTTGGAGCCAGGCCCGGGCTGTGCTAGGGGCACAACCAGGCTGCCCTTAGCGCCTCTCGCCCCCAGCTAGAGGGGCTCTCAAACCTCCCCATCTGCAGATGTGGGAATTGCCAGGGGAGAGGGAGAGGGGAACAAGGCCCCTGTGGAAGGAGTTGTCCTTAGAACTCCTCTGCGCCTGGGTGGAGGACACGGAGCCCTGTCCATGCAGAGCTGCACGCGAGGCAGGCTCGGGAGCCGAGCGAGCCCTTGGCAGGGGGCTCAGGGAGCTGGCGCCGTTGGTGCCCCACGTCACGCAGGCAGCGGCCAGGCGCAGCCCTGCGAGCGCCGCGGGGCAGGCAGGAGAGGCAGGCAGTGCCCCAGCACAAGCCCGTTCCACCGCGGCTCTGCGTCGGCCCCTGCAGCAGAGCAGGGGCGGCCGCTCCGGGAGTGCCGGCTGGGAAGGCACCCGAGGCCACACGGAGGTGGCTGCTCAGTGTCCCCGGCGCCTGGTTGGTGGCAGCGCCGGGCGGAGCTGGTGGGCGCTGGGGCTGCAGCCCTGCCCTGCATCCCTGCAGGGAGCTGCCCAGCTCCGAGCGCTCCTGGGAGGACGTTCCCACGGCCTGCCCGGCTCCCGCTGCTCCGGGCCATGATGGGGAGCACCAGCCCCTCTCTTACCTGGGCAGCAGAGCGGCAGGAGGAGGAGGAGGAATCTCCGCTCAGTGGCCATCCTCAAGGCCAGGGAAGGGGCATAGCTGGGAGCTGCCCACGGCACTCACTGGGGCAGCATCTGTTCCTGCGCCTGCTGGAGGAAGTGACTGAGCTCTTGCCTGCGCACGGAAGTGCTTCACCATGTTTTGCAACAGGACCGAGAACTGGGTTAGCTGAAGTTGCGTTTGGGGAAGCGGCTGAGCGCGGAGCCCAGCTCGGCCTGCTGGGAGGGGCCTGTGCTGCTCCCCACGGCGCGGTTGTCACGCTGTCCCCGTCGCCCGCGGGAGAGCGCGTCCGC